ATATATATATATATATATATATATATATATATATATATATATATGTATATATATATATATATATATATATATATATATATATATATATATATATATATATATATATGCATATATACATACATACATACATAAATATATGTGTGTGTGTATAAACACACACACACACACACACACACACACACACACACACACACACACACACACACACACACACACATATATATATATATATATATATATATATATATATATATATGTGTGTGTGTGTGTGTGTGTGTGTGTGTGTGTGTGTGTGTACATATATACATACATATATATATATACTTATATATAAGTATATATATACATGTGTATATATATATTATGTGTATATTATATGAATATATATAGACACATATATATTCACACACATATATATATATATATATATATATATATATATATATATATATATATATATATAAATATATACATGAATATATGTATATATACATACATGCATACATGCATTCATACACACTCACACACACACACTTATGTATATATATCTATAATTAAACGTATATATATATATATATATATATATATATATATATATATATATATATATATATATATATATATATTGTAAAGTTCACACATAGCTTAAGGCCAGGTGATACCCGTGAAAGAGGGGCCCGGAATACTCCTGTGAAGCAGTAGATGTTTAGGGACCAAACACGAAAGGAATAACGAAGAGTCCCGCTCACTCCTCGTGTGTAAAGAAGAAAAATAAATATATAAATAAGAAAGTAGCGGCCAAACTTCCAGGTTCTGTGGAAATATATCAACTATTGCTTCCACAGATAATATTGACTGGTTAGTGGTTTACAGCGATATGAGACCCTTTCATACACTTAGCAAAGTAAAAAAATGACAGTGGTAAGCCAGGAGATTAAAATATTATTCGAAGTAGTAACACAAGCAGAAACAGCAATAGTAGTATAAGCAGAGGCAGGAGTAGTAGAGGCAGTAGAAGTATAAGCAGAAGCAATAGTATGAGTAAACAAAAGTACGAAAGAATAACGAGGTAAAATACATGGGAAAACCAACAAAAAAAAAGTAAGAGAAGAAACAAAACAACTCTAAACCACGATGAAAGGTAAACAATAGTTAAACGAAACAGAAACTTTACAAGAAAACTTAAAGAGGAAGTAAAGAAATACAAGGTAATAATATAAAACGATAGAATAAGTATTCAGAAATCAATAAGAATCGTTAAAATAAAATACATAACATGACAAGGCAGAAAATGACGTGTCAAGTCACTAACAACTCGGAAATTAGTTAACGCAAAAGTAAAACAAAAAATGTAAAAAAATAAATTAAATATATCAGTTCCAAGCTAAACTAGTAAGAACTAAAAATGCAATAATCAAAATAATAACAGGAAAAAATAACACAGAAAACGGGCACCGGGATAACTAAGGTAGACCCGCGCAGGGAAACCGTTGTGCAGCTGGAGTGTGTCGCCCTCTCCGCTGGAACGCAGGCAGAGAGGTATATCCATATTTATATCTATATATAAATATATCTATATCTATATCTATCTACCTATATATCTGCTTATCTATCTCTCTGTTTATCTATCTATATCAATATGTTATATATCTATCTACATCTATATCTATATATATACGTATATACATACATACATACACACAGACAGACAGACACACACACACACACACACACACACGCATATATATACATATATATATATATATATATATATATATATATATATATATATATATATATATGTATGTGTGTGTGTGTGTGTGTGTGTGTGTGTCTGTGTGTGTGTGTGTGTGTGTGTGTGTGTCTGTGTGCGTGTGTGTGTGTGTGTGTGTGTGTGTGTATGTGTGTGTGTGTGTGTGTGTGTGTATGCATATATATATATATATATATATATATATATATATATATATATATATATATATATGTATGTATGTATGTATGTGTGTGTGTGTGTGTGTGTGTGTGTGTGTGTGTGTGTGTGTACACACGCCCTCATACATACATATATATGTGTGTGTGTTATATACGTATACATTTATACACTTTTTTTTTTTTTTTTTTTTTTTTTTTTTTTTTTTTTTTTTTTTTACAGCCATTCATTTCACTGCAGAACACAGGCCTCTTTCAATTCACTATTGATAGATTATATGGCAGTGTCACCCTTATCGTTGTCTCGGGCTCGAGCCAGCAGTCAGAGCGCAGCCTTTTTTACGACCGCCGTGACGTGGAATTGAACTCGGAACCACGAGTGTCGGAGTCATATGACTGCCATCGCGGCAGTCATATGTGTATACACACACACACACACACACACACACACACACACACACACACACACACACACACATACACACACACACACACACACACACACACACACACACGCACACATATATATATATACTTATAAATATACAATATGCATATATATATATATATA